CTTATTTAATGTCCTTTGAGCTGGCCGTTGTTTAGCATTTTATTCGGCCATGCAGGAAGGATAAGTATTGAATGCTATAAGCAGAGATCAATTTTTGGGATTCGGTAATCGTTTGTGAGGATTAGATACATGCAGAGAGTTATATTTTAATTGAAAATGGGTTTCGAACTTCGGATTCATAGGTGGGAGCTTTTACCTTCAATTATTCTTAACTTTAATGTACCAACAGTTGTCCATTCTAATAAATATTAGTGATATCATGAGTGCCAATAGCATCAAGACAGAATTTTAGCCTTATATTTTTACACCCTTAACCAACACAATTCACGAGCTTTTAGCAATCAGGTTACGTGGAAGATTTTGCAGGTGCCACGAAAAAACAAATCCCACTTGTTAAATGGGTTACAATAAAAGTGCATTATTGAAATAAGAAATTCTCTAATTCATCATTGTGCTTATCGTTGATCCATTGCTCAATTTTTTGTAATTAAAAAGATAATTGGAAGGAGAAAAACAGTTACGATCTTGTGATTGTGAAAGGGATCCAGAAAGAATGGGGCCATACATAGATTCCATATTTTCATTCCCCACCCCTCAATCCCCCCCCCCCCAAAAAAAAAGAACAAAAAGGAAAGAAGAAGCAACTACATTTTGAAGGTGAAATATTATGGAAAATCTAGAATACTTAATTTATCCCATATTTTGCATATGCTAATGTGGTAGCTTCAATTGTCTGGTGCCCTTATACTCTTTTCGGTGGATTGCTTAGTAGGAACCAGCAGCCACTTTGTATGATAAAACAAAGATTGGGACTTCATTAGGAGTCTGCTCAACTCTCAGCTCTGCACTGGTCTAGCAGATTTGAAGTTTTAAGCAATGAACTAATATTACTCTGATAAAATGGTCCAGAGAAGTGGGGCAGTTGGCTGAATATCCCTTATTAAGGAAAACCTTTATTCAAAAAAGAAGGAACCATGGAAACCCAAAGAAAAGAGGAGGCCAATTCCACTTTTGGAATAGAATAATTTGTCTTTTTGAAGGAAAGACAAAGGGAACCACGCTTCTCTCTAAAATCGAGTCAAAGAAAGACCAGTTCATGGTTATATGATTATCTTTCCGACCCCCACGTGAAACATTTGACCACGCGCTAAGACTATTTCAGGACTGTGGTCTTAATTAAGTTTTGTGTTACCTTTTGCGGCTTGTTACGTTATTACCATGTTCCTCCCAAGGCTGCTATGCGCCAAGAGGTGATGCTTGTTCAATTCCCATTCTCTGAGTTTCAGTGGTTTTGTAAGAAATACAGCTAACTCCACAAGTTTTCAAAGACAAGTTACTTGTTTTTATGTTTTTTCAAACAAAACATGCTGAAAAGTTTAAGTTTTTAACCAATTTAGCCTCTGAATTGTTTTCTTCTAATATGACATCCCAATAAGATATGATTGAAAAAAAAAATTCCAACTAAAGAAAAATTGAAAATATTTTAACATAATATTAAAAATGATAACCTTACAGGAAAAGGTCTTGAACTTGGAAGCACTACATCTAGAGCTCTTATTTATAAATTATAAGTATAATATTTAAAAAATTTTCTAAACTATTTAAAAATTGTAAATAAATTTTTATTTTTTATTATATTTAATCAAGTCTTTGTATTTTCATTTTTAATTGTATAAGTCTTTATAATTAATAGTTTACTAACTGTTATTAGTAAAAATATAATTTATTATTTTATATTATGCGATATTGAAAATGTTTATTTAAATATTTTAAAATATATAATTTAAATTTTTTAAAAATATTATGTTTAAATTTACAATGTCTTTAAAATAATTAATATATATTATACTAATTTTGAGCTCCAATGCATTGTATGAGACAGGCTTGCATAGGTACTGCCGTAGTGATTATTCACTTTCAAGCTTGGACGCAAAGAACATTACTATGGCCAGCAAGGAGAATTCTGGCTTTATCCCATAATTCAGTGTGCAATAAATCAAAATGCCATTGTTTGAAAATGTTCAACAAGCTCCAAAACAGAAAAATATATAATATCCGCTAGTTGACCATTACTCAATAATTTCTAAGCTACAACAGTATTCAGACACTCAGAATTTATGTCTGAAACCTCTTAATCACGTCAACAGCAACGTCTGATTAAGCTATTTGTTCTCCTTCAACATTTGGGCTTTTATCCACAAAAATTATTCTATTCAATTTGTTCATTCATAAGATATACTCAAAAACATAGAAAACGATAATTATGACACCTAAGAAGGACAAAAACTCACTTAATCATTTAATTAGAAACTATATTAAAGGGGGAGTACCCTTCAAATCCTTCATAATTAATTGCTTGTCTTTGTTTTGTCTTATGGGAAAGAGCTTCACTCCCGTGATAGTCTCGCTTGCACTCTTCTGTTTCCCTAATGATGTTCCATTCATGTGACGATTAATTAGAAAACAGCTTCCCCTTTTCACACTACTATAACATTTAATACTCTATTAAAATATTAAATATAGAAGAAGATTAAACATTTGGGCTTCAATTCTTTTCTAACATAGCTTTGTCCCAAAGTCCAAAAGGGAATGACTTTAGGTTTCCCTAAGTCTAAAATTTGTAACCTACCCCCCACCCTTTTGTTTCTTTTAAATGTGATTAAGGGAAGTATAAACAAATTATATTCACTATGATTTCATTCTAAAATTTCTAAAGTTCAAATATTTTATTAAATTATCTACTATTATATAAAAACCAAATAAATATTATTATTCTTCGTTGCTTTGGACCTGGTTTCAAAGGTATGATTCTTTTTAGTAATGAAAGAGATTAAAAAAAAAAAGGAGATTATAGAATCAAGCATCAACCGTCACCAGTGATGCTCAGCTCCAGAGAGACACTTTAGACATCTTGGCCAGAGAACAGGAAGAGGAGGTTGCAGGAGGGAGGGACGGTGGAGGAGGGAGGAGGGTGGTGGTGGTCGAGAGATTAATAAATGTACGTGCTCTCTGGAGTTGGACCCATCAATAATTGCTGGGATGGATAAAAATTTTTTGAAAAGGTGACGTTGGCTTTGCATCTACCGTGAGACTGAGACAAGATTTTTCTTTGTTAATGTGGCGTCACGGGATCTTCACGAGCAAATCCAAATCCAATTATGTTGTACTAGTTTTACCAAGCAGAATAATAATGGAGTATATAATATAACTTTAGGGGTAATTTTATCACTTTACCTACCGTCAAGGAAGGAGTGCCGACGTGGTCCCGCCATCACCGAGATGTTGACACGTGGGATGACTTCTAGAGCCATAAGACACACGCAGAACACCCGCACGTGTGCAACAGCTTCACAAGTCAGCGTGGTAATTTTTGGTATAAAGAGAGAAAAATGAATGAAGAACGACACTTTTCTACCTAATATCTAAGCTCAAATATTTTGATTCAAATTTCAACTTTTATCTTTGTGTCGTCCAACCCAAGTTTGTTGCTAGTATATAGAACGATGATATATATTATTCCATAGGGTCATTTTTTCCGTCTTTGATTTAATATGTTAAATACTAGTATAATATGTGAAGCAGAAATATAAAATTGATGTGTTAATCGAACCCTAGACTTGGCCTTCATGGTTCGTTCGACCCCAACACTTGCAATATCTAGGATTTTTGTCTCCTCAAATGTCAAATCCATTGCACTAAAGAAGAAAAGTAATTGATGAATCAAGGAGAAATATTGAGGGTGGGTTTTTTTTTTAAAAAAATATTAGCAATATGATTTTATTTTATAAAGAGCTTTACAAAAGTTGTCCAAGAAGGCAGAGATCAATACTGTCGTACTCTTGAACCAACGCAAGAAAGATATTTCCTTGGCATTAATCAGGATTTATAGTTTTCATCAGTGCCATGGAGAGTCTTACACCAGTTAGGTGCTAGACTTGAAATGGCATCCATGCTTTTGGTTGAATAAAATCCACCTTTCAAAACAAAAATGTACATTACACTTACTTAAAGGTGAAAAAAATTAAAATTGCACATATCAATTTTGCATTACCCTTAATTCATGGGACAAAGTCAAATGAATAGAAATTGGGTTGTGTTTCCCCTCTTAAGATAGACAAATGACAAAACACTTGCGCTTTGTCTTATTACGTACCCTTGTTAGCCATCAACTTTGAGATGATAGAGGAAATCAACTCATGCCCTATACATAAGCTAATTTGACACGACGTAGTCAATAGTGTTTAAGATTAATAAATTGAGTCTGGTTTGTTAGATTCAAGTTTATTGCAGGCGAGAGACGACAAAAGAAATACATCAAGATTGTGGTTTGTAGCCCCCGCTGGCAATTCCCTGCAAGCAAACGATTTGAAAGATGTAAGCTTAGAGGTATTCAATTTTTAGTTAAATACTTTGGTTATACGGCCCAAACTTTAAGCGCTGACTCGACTCCTTTCCAGAAATTACAATCTAGTTTGGCACAGTACTGTTAGGTTTTTGAACAACAAAAAATCTGAAGAAAAATCTTGGGTAAAAAAAATGAACCCTGTTTTTTTTTGGGTGGGGGGGTGGGATTTTGAAATCATTTCCCTTTGATTCATTAAGTAGTTAATTTACAAAACTTAATGACCAGAACTTGACTGTCATTGGTAACGTGTCAATCAAAGACACTGATCCATTGGATTATATAATGAGAGTTTAACACGTCGCGCGTGCTGTCCACGTCCGCATTAAACGCAGTAGAATTTGAATTATAAATAAACGTGACCTTCCAGGATTTTGCCTCCTCCTCCTGGTCGATTAAGGAGACGTTCCTCCTCAACACAAAATATATGCACGAGGTGGGCAGCCAAGGAATTTGTAGTAAAAAAACCTTTGAAACGCTTATAGGGGGACGTGCCTATCTAGCATTTTGTGTCAAAAATTCAGGCGGGTCCCTTAACCCACTCAAACTAGTGAAGCAATCCCTCACATCATCCTCCTCTATAAAGCCAGGGTCACCCCATTTCCCATCCCCTCACTCTTGCTTCGCCATTTCCTCTCTCTTCTCTTCTCCTCCATATTATCTGTAACTTTTCCTCTTAATCACTGCAAAAAGCACACACGGTTTTGCCTCGCATTTAGTGGACAAAACCTGTGCTAAATTAGGCTAAACTAATCCTTTCATGGGCAACGCTGACTACGTTTACCCTGCCGCGAATGATCAATGTGCTCATCGCGTGGCGATTCCTCCGCCGCAACCATTTTTCAAGTCATTCAAGAACTCGCTTAAGGAGACGTTTTTCCCGGACGATCCACTTAGGCAATTCAAGAACAAAACGCCCTCTCGGAAATTCGTACTAGGCCTGCAATACTTCTTGCCGATTCTTGAATGGGGTCCTCGTTACAGTTTACTGTTCTTGAAAGCTGACCTAATTGCTGGGATCACCATCGCCAGTCTTGCAATCCCTCAGGGTATTAGCTATGCCAAGCTTGCTAACTTGCCTCCCATTCTCGGCCTATGTAAGTTGGATTAAACATAACTAGTGATTTTATTTCCAGTGTGATGAGTTGTTGTGATAGGGTACTGAACGTTTATTATTTTTCTTTTCGGGAAATGAAGATTCAAGCTTTATTCCACCACTGGTTTATGCAATGATGGGGAGCTCAAGAGATTTGGCAGTAGGGACTGTTGCTGTTGCTTCACTTCTCACAGCTTCTATGTTGGGGCAGGAAGTGAATGCCGCCGAGAATCCCAAGCTTTACCTTCACCTTGCTTTCACAGCAACTTTTTTCGCCGGGCTTCTCCAAGCTTCGTTAGGCCTATTAAGGTACGAACTAGCAAGTAGTAGAGGTTCCGGCCTACGTCTTCATTCTCTTCCTTCACTTTTTTCCCTTTTTCAGGTCTGTAAGTTCCGCGTTAAAAATATCGAAAATCACGCTTAAAAAAGAACTTATTTGGCAGGAAATAAAAAAACCAAGAATTAAAGAGGCGTCACTTTTGGTTAAATAGGCTCTTAAGAATTGACGAAAAGTTAATAACGGAACATGTATGTTGTACTTTGTCTGCTCCTTGCTGGAATTCTTGTCCTTTGCTGCTGTCCCGTCTGGCTGGATACGTTAGATCACGATCTATTAATTAAAAAAGAAAAATTCATGCCCTAACATTATTAGTACTAGTAATTTTTTTAAAAAAAGAAAAAAAAAACTACCCACAGAGAATCTGCCCAGAAGGCGATTGAGCCATTGCTTTCACAAGGCAATTGTCATTTACTGTCAGCCTACATAATAAATTCAACAGTATAGAAAAGAAACCTTGTTTTTACAGTACAGTAGTTAGCATCTCCTTAATCGATGGAAAATTTTTACTTACTCTTTTGTTTGTTAAAGCGCAGGCTAGGGTTTATTGTGGATTTTCTTTCACATGCGACGATAGTAGGCTTCATGGCAGGGGCAGCCACTGTAGTGTGCTTGCAACAGCTAAAGGGGATTCTAGGCCTTGAGCACTTTACTCATTCTACCGATATTATCTCGGTCATGCGCTCTGTCTTCTCCCAAACTCATGAGGTCAATATTTTTAGCCACTTATTAAACTTACATCGTTATTCATAAACAAATATATAAAAAATTATTACTAATTAGATACTACTAGTTTTTTCCTATATGGCATGTGATGTGTATTGTTGTTATTATTCACGGTATTTCAGTATGTATATAATACAATTATAAAAACAAATTAAATATCTATATATATAATTAAGTTATTATATCATTACATACCAGATCATCAATACTGTACATCAATTTTATTTTATATATATATATATAGTACTTATAAAGAAGCTAATTAATTATAAAGCAAGATATTTTTTTGATCAGATTTTTATCTTCTACTAGGTAGCTAGTATTATGAGCTACTTTGTATATTTTAGTTTTCTTTGGTAATATAATTGTCTGACAGCAATACGTATATTTGACAGTGGAGATGGGAGAGTGGAGTCTTGGGCGTTGGTTTCCTATTCTTCCTCCTCGTCACCAGATACTTCGTAAGAACATTTAATCATTAATTTAATTATTTTAGATACTTTAGGTCTAATCAATAATATTTTTTTTATGTTATATCATAAGTGCGTGTTAAATTATAAATCAAATTATTATTTCCACAATCCGATATGATGTCAACTACGAAACTTATAGCTGCAGAAAGTAAAATAACACATATAAGGAATGAACTTTCTAAGAAAAGGGCTATTTGATTAAGAAAAGTAGTTTCCCTTATTGGGTTGTTGTCTATAAATAATATCTTTGTTAAGTAACTTTTTACCCTTTAAAAACTCTCTAGTGTCGTCAGGGTGCTCCATTTAGCCCTAACCTGCTCCCACTTCATATACTATAAAATTTATAATATCAAATTAGTGAAGTTGTAAAGATGTTAGATGGGAAGACTTCCATCTCCATGGCCTCAAATTTTTCAAACTGGCAAAGACTTGGACTTGGACTTTAGAGCTTAGAGAAATCGCTTGTCGAGCTTATTATATGAAAAGCAGCATGTTCTTTTCTTAATAGCTTACTAGTTAATTGTTAATTTATTATAATACATATTATAACATAATCTACAATATGTTTGTTTGATGCTTTGACGACAAACAGAGCAAGAGACGACCCAAATTCTTTTGGATATCAGCAATGGCACCTTTGACATCAGTCATTCTTGGAAGCCTCCTAGTTTATCTTACCCATGCCGAAAAACACGGTGTTCAAGTGGTAAGCTTCTTGTTTTTTTTTTTTAATTTTAATTCATTAGGTGACCTTTTCTTATCTTATTATAGTCTTCTTGAACTTCAATCTACCTTTATTAAAAAAAATGATAGTAGCTTTAGGTAAAGAATGCAAATATTATTCCACCAGAGCAAGTGCAAATGTAATTTCGGTCTTTGAGGTAACTTGTCTTGGGCCAATACTAATAATTGTTCAGTGAGCCCCCACCAATAATACAGCTTGCTGCAGCCTCTCCTACTGGATTGGTCCCATCCCTCTTATCTCTTGCTTGCTATAGAGGGGCGGTTCCTACCAAATCTCCTAACAAATGATATAAGATCACATTGTGTTCTGGTCAAAAAAGACAAAAAAGGACCAGGGACATTTAGTTTTTGTCTTTTTTGTAATTAACTTAAAAAATACTACTTGTACTACTACTACTACTACTACTTCTACGTACTTATTTCTGGGTCTTTTCAAACAAATGTCATGCAAGATGAAGAGTTGTGATATGGTGCAATTTTTTTATGGTGTGACAATGGCAGATAGGAAACCTGAAAAAGGGGCTGAATCCACCGTCTTTTGGGGATTTTGTGTTTACCTCGCCGTATATGACAACAGCTGTGAAAACTGGATTGATCACGGGCATCGTAGCCCTTGCTGTAAGCTGCCTTTAACTTATTATGTCTACTATCTTTGCTAATTTAGTGCCCCTGAGCATTTTCGCATCCTCGTGTTTTTTTTACCATTACCATGCCAAAATTGCCTCCATTTATGGGAAAATGTGATGTATTTTCCTTGAACAACCAAATTTGAAAAACAACAAGAAAGTGAAAGAACGGGTAGTTCTTTTTTTTAGCTAAGGACAGATGAACAATAGTATGCAGTATATTTTTTTCTTTCTGCAAAAGTTTTTATTGTTGGACTTATATGGGAAGTTACAAAAGCTTTAACTGATTGAAGTTGTTGTTGGTTGTGAATACAGGAAGGAATAGCAGTGGGAAGAAGTTTTGCAATGTTCAAGCACTACCATATTGATGGGAACAAAGAGATGGTAGCTCTTGGGACCATGAACATTGTTGGTTCTTGCTTTTCTTGCTATCTCACGACAGGTGAAATTTTCTAAGTTTATTCAGTTGACAGTTCACTAATTTAATCACATCTTAAACGCAGCCCAGTTGCAATAAAAAATGAATAATAAAAGTATGAACTAAAGGGAACTTTGATATTCTTCTTGTTGGTTTCGTTTACTAATCGTCCCACAACTATGATATTATTCAGGGCCATTTTCGCGATCAGCTGTTAACTTCAACGCAGGATGCAAAACAGCAATGTCAAACGTTATCATGGCCATTGCAGTTATGCTCACATTGCTGTTCCTAACACCATTGTTCCATTACACGCCCCTCGTAGTGTTGTCTGCAATTATAATTTCTGCAATGCTTGGCCTCATTGATTATGAAGCTGCAATTCATCTGTGGAAGGTCGACAAATTTGATTTTGTTGTGTGCATGGGTGCATATATTGGCGTCATTTTTGCAAACGTGGAGGCTGGCTTAGTCATAGCGGTACGATCATATCATCCACTGTGCCCCAAACACAGCTGAAATCAACTGCTTTTGTTCATCCAAGAACAAATTTTTTGAACCCTGACCTAATCCTTTATGTAAAATGCAGGTTGCAATTTCTTTGCTCAGATTGTTGCTGTTCGTTGCGAGACCAAAGACCCTTGTTCTCGGAAACATTCCAAATTCCACCATTTATAGAAACGTTGAGCAATACCCAAATACAAACAATGTTGCTGGGGTTCTTCTACTTCAGATAGACGCTCCAATCTACTTCGCCAACTCAAGTTACTTGAGAGAAAGGTGCTAAAATTTCATTGCTTAATACTACATTAAACACCAAATCAAGTTTTCAAGGTTATCAGACATCTTCATTTTATCAAATCCAACTTATGCTGATCAATGTGATTGCTAATCTTATCAGAATCTCAAGGTGGATTGATGAAGAGGAAAACAAGCTGAAATCTACGGGGGAAACCAGCTTACAGTATATTATACTTGATATGAGTGGTGAGTGATTTATCCAACAGGAACTGCAGCATATAAATATACATAACTTCTAGCATAAGAAAATATTTAGTAACTCACAAGGATTCTTTTTGGTATACAGCTGTTGGTAACATTGACACCAGTGGAATCAGCATGCTTGAGGAGGTCAAGAAAACTACTGACAGAAGGGGGCTGAAGGTATTTTCTCCTGCAATTGCTTGTATTCTGTTAAAATGGTGAAAATTTAACACTAGGCTCTAGGTGACATATCCTATTTTTATCTTTCTATCTTTGTAGCTTGTACTGGCCAACCCTGGAGCTGAAGTGATGAAGAAACTCAACAAATCCAAGTTCCTAGAAACCATAGGTCAAGAATGGATATACTTGACAGTAGGAGAAGCTGTTGAAGCCTGTAATTACAACCTCCATACATGCAAACCGGACTCCACCAAAGAGGAATCACAGCCATGGAACAATGTCTAAGCTACTAGATTCTGGTGGAGCAGAGCTTTTCTTCAACAACAACATATATATTTTTTTAATTTTTAATTAAAGGGGCAACCATGTATTTCTCACTCATGCATCTGAGAGTCATGATGCATGGCCTATTAGCTAGACATCGCTGAATTAACAAGAAATGATCAAATAGCCAAATTAAGCTCAGACGCTTCAATTTAAAGTTGGAGGGCATTTTTCCTCTTCCAGCAAACATGCAAGCTGTACGATAGATATCCTGGCAATGAAATTATTAATAAAGAAGCATCTTGAGTGTTGACAATGCTAATGGCTACTAATATTTTGTCTATTTTATTATGATTTCAGTTTTTTATATATGATACCGTACATATGTTTCTTTTTTTCCAATTAACATTTTGTACATATATATTCATCGGATTAATAAGAGATTAGACTATTAATATCTAATAAATTATCAAAATACTTTTAATTCAAGTTAATCCATTAATTTGTTTACGAATAAGGGTATTTTTGTAAATTTAACAAGTAAAATTAATAGCGTAAAATTCTCATGAGAATGGAAATTATTCACAATGTGCTAATTAGAAAAAAAAATCGACAAAATGTTAATTGAAAAATAAAAAATCACCCAACATCATGTTAGAAAATTTTAAATGACAATAAATAAATAAATAAAATTTACCCTATTTTATTTTTTGAATAATGTATGTAATATACACATTTGGCTTAGATTAAGTTCTCCAACTCAAGCCATTAATGCGGTATCCCATTTTGCTTAGATTGGAGTTACTATATTCTCTTCTTAGGGAAAGCTCCGGCAAATAATTCACAGAAAGCTTTGCCTACATATATAGTAATTTACTACAAAGAGAAAAAAAAAACATTACTGTTTTCCCGAGTGACAGCTTTGGGAAAACAAAGTTAAAAGATCTAGCTTATTTGGTAGCCCGTACTTAGTCAATAGACCATTATCTCCTCTTCAAAAAATTAAATTATTTCAATACGCTTATAAGCTTCTTAAATTTTTTTACTTTTTTGATATAAAATTAAAATAATTTTTTTATTTTTTTAAATAATATTAGACGTGACATCCTTTTTCACTTAATCTAATAAAACTTTCATTGTTGTCAACTATTTACTTACCTCTCTTCTAAAAATGTTTGACTTAAGTCGAGTTTCGATTGAATTTGCTTTGATATCATTTTGTCATAAAACAATTGTCATCTTTTTAAACCGTTAATCTATTAAGATGTGTACATTTATGTTTATAAATTTTTTAAAATTTTTTTTATCTATTCGATATGAAATTAAAACATTTTACTTTTTTTTGAAACACTTAGCTAAACATATATTGATACATATTAAACTACTAGAAGGAAATTTTATATCAAAATTATCATTTTACTGAAGTTTTAAAAATTAGCATAATGTAAATAATGTTAGCCCTTGTGACGGTTTTTCCATAATGTCATCATGTTTATTGATTTAATGCTACAATTTAGTTGTTTGGGATTAGAGGGATAAAAAATTAATTAGCGATTTGATTTTGTTTAAGAAAACGTAGTAGTGAATAAAGAAAAATAGAAAAGTATGCATTTGAGGAAAGTTGGAGGGGTTTTATTTATTTATTTATTTGTTTTTGGTTTCGGGCTGCAGAAGGGTTAATTCGGAATTTCAAAAAAAGCTAGGAAATTGACAAGAGACTTTGTACAGTCTACTCTGCTTTCAATTGAGCTCCATTTTTTCTTCACTTGCTCGTGTATCAAACATATGCGGAAACCAGACCTTGTTAACTTCATCAGCCACAACAGTTGACGAATTCTGTCATTCTCTTACGCCTTTTATGGCTCCTGCCAAGAAATCGAAGAAAACGAAGAAATCTTCGAAGAAATTGAAGAAAAACAAAAGCGTGAGCGTGGTTCCAGTAGAACCCAGAGTTAGCGAACCCGATTGGTGGGACAGTTTCTGGCACAAGAACTCTACAACCCCAGGTTCCAATTTCCAATTTTTTTTAAAAAAAAAGGTTCTTTTCACATTTCATTTGAAAATAGCTTTAATTTTATCTCATTAAAGTAATGGTTCCCATAGTCATAGCTTGATTTCCCGACATTAACGTGGTTAATTATAAGGTTGAAGCTGAATTTGGGTCTCATTTTTAACTTGGATAATTGCATTAGTTTGCCATTTGTTTAAAGCAGAAGAATGGACCTGAAATGCTTGAACTGAATTTGAGCAATAGGGAAGAGATTTCGTTTTCTTTTCTTGGGTATTTGATTTGTTTGATTTACAGTGAGGAATGAAATGTTTTTATTTGATCTCATAGGAAGTGAGTCCCAACTGGCAGGTCTTTCAATACCATCAAATGAGGAAGAAGGTTTCAAGTATTTCTTCAGGGCTGCAAGGAAGACATTTGATTACATTTGTTCCCTTGTGAGAGAAGACCTTGTGTCAAGGCCACCTTCAGGGCTTATCAACATTGAGGGAAGGCTTCTCAGTGTTGAGAAACAAGTTGCAATTGCCCTTAGAAGGCTAGCTTCCGGTGAGTCTCAGGTGTCTGTTGGAGCTTCTTTTGGGGTAGGCCAATCTACAGTTTCTCAAGTGACTTGGAGATTTATTGAAGCACTGGAAGAACGTGCCAAGCACCATCTCAAGTGGCCTGATTCCAATAGAATGGAGGAAATCAAATTGCAATTCGAAGTGTTATTTGGGTTGCCTAATTGTTGTGGAGCTATAGATGCGACACATATTATCATGACCCTTCCAGCTGTTCAGACCTCGGATGATTGGTGTGACCAAGAGAGCAATTACAGTATGTTCTTGCAGGCAATTGTTGACCATGAGATGCGATTTCTTGATATTGTAACAGGTTGGCCTGGTGGCATGAGTGTATCTAGATTACTCAAATGTTCCGGATTTTTCAGGCTCTGTGAGGCTGGTGAGCGTTTGAATGGAAGTATAAGGACTTTGTCAGAAGGATTAGAAATGAGAGAATTCATAGTAGGTGGCGTTGCATATCCTCTTCTTCCCTGGCTCATAACTCCATATGAAACTAATGACCTCTCGTCCTCCATGTCTACTACTTTTAACGACAAGCATGAAGCAGCAAGGTTGCTCGCAGTGAGGGCATTTTTGCAGTTAAAGGGCAGTTGGAGAATCCTTAACAAAGTCATGTGGAGACCTGATAAGCGGAAATTGCCTAGTATCATTTTGGTGTGTTGTTTACTTCACAATATTATCATTGACAACGGAGATCACTTACATCCTGATGTTGCTTTATCTGGTCATCATGACTCGGGTTATGGAGAAGAATGCTGCAAGCAGGTTGATCCAACAGGCAAAACAATGCGGGAAAACCTAGCCCAATACTTGTTGCAAAGTAAAGTGAAAGCTCCAGCAAAGTAATCGGGCAAGTTAAAGAGCATCTTAGTTTGAGCCTCAATTGTGTTATGAAAAAGGTTCAATAGGGTGGACCCCTAAAACAACAATGATTTTTTCTTTGCACAAAAAATGAATAGCTATTCTTAACCTACGTATTGCCTTTATTTTTTCTAGACATGAGAACAGGTTTTGGGTATGCTGTTGGTAATTCTGTGTTTGGAAAGTCCAGGTCTAGCTTTGGAATGAGACTCAGAATCTATGAGCCTCCTAAGGATCATGTCATAATTTGTCTTCCCCACTGTCTATTTATATGGTTCCAGTTATGGTAATGGCTTAGCAGCAAAGATGAATTTGCATTCAGTTCGGAGATTCAATCGTGAGCGTTGTATAGTTGTACGTTGTCGTCCTTGAAAACCCATCTGACCTGCATACCATGTTTTGACCGTAGCCATTGTCGCAACTTGGCCACAATTCTGGGTATGGTATTTCATTCCAAAATTTCTTAATAAAAAAGCTCATACCAGAGGGAAAAAACTTAACTCCCAATGCAGTACTCAAAAGATTCATGCATATGGAAAACAACATTTATTGACCTTGAAGAAAATAATTGCCATTAAAATCCAGATTTATGCCGAGTAAACGTATAAAGAAGGAAACAAAAGGCCGTAAGAGAGCAGCTTCTTTCGATTAGATGGAGCCTGAAATGTACAGCAGGATCTCTAAACTTGAGAAGAAAGCCTCTGTAAGAAGATATATATGTGAAACACAAAAACTAGGAAGGCAGACTTATGGACAATGCAACTAGAGTCTCATTACTGGTAAACTACACTAATTATGTGCCGACGACAAGTAATAGCCTCAATCTCCTTTAGTTGGAGGTTGCACGCATGCACAAAAGGGCGCTTTCTTCCTCTTGTGGCTGGTTCTTACCCCACCATAAAGATAGTCCCGCAATAGAACTCTTGTTTTTCGCTCTATGATTCTGGTTCTTCCTTTACTTTCTTTTTCATCGTCAAGCTTCAGCAAGAGAAACTGTATTTTCTGCACCTCTAACTGCAAGCGCCCAATCTTTTCAGACCCTCTTCGAGCTTGTTCTGATACTCTCCGCCTCCTAACACTCCCATTCTCATCTGATTCTAATGCAGATTTCCCATCAAGAGACCAGGAACCATCTTCAACATGTGTCATCAATTTGCGATTGACATCGAATAGCTTCATGATGGCTTCCTCAGCTTCTTCTAACTGCTCTCTAACTGTACCATATTCAATTCCCTTCCCCTTTTTGCCCGTCTCAGTTATCTCCACTTTTCTCTTCAGATCCTGCACAGTTATCTGAAGGTTAGCCAATTTTTGTGCATCAGAATCAAGTCTTTCTAAAATCTTTCTCTTGCTTCCTTCATGGTTGGGCTCTGTAAACCTCTTAGAGCTCTCTTTATCCACACCCAACTCTTTAACAAGAGATTCCGTAGAGGGATTTTTGCCCTTGTGTTCCTTCACTGAATCAATTTGTTGGTGGTCAGTTGGTGCATACACCATCTTCTGGGCTTTGCCGACTTTTAAGTCAATGCTACCATCATGGTCGGCAGCCTCCCACAACTCAAGCATCTGATCATCAACCTCTGCAGTTTCTCTCCTGCTTAACCCATAGGATGAGCACTCAGATATTTGATCAAGTATAATGTCTTTTGTCATCATCTCATTATCCTCTTCAGAGATTTCATGTGTTGGCCTCTGCATTTTGACACTGTTACTGGATCCCCGGCCAAGTTCCTCCCCTTCTTGTCTAGCATTCACATGCCTCTTTGCTCTAACACTTTCTTGACGTGAGCTGCTTCCAAATCTCAACTCTTCAATCTGTCTCATAGCAGTCTCTAGTTTGGAATTGAGATTTAAGTTTTCCAGCATTGCAAGCTTTTCCATTTCCAGCACCGCTCTTTCAATAGATTTAATTTTCATATGGATACCCTGCAAGTCTGAAAAACCATCTGGAACTGAGGCAATTCGATCTTCACTTGTTTGTTGACAGCTTTCAGCATAAAATTCAGTCCCCAGATTGGCATCCTGGAAAATAAGACAAATTGTAAGTCAAAGAATCACAGCTAATAACCATCCAAGATGCCAGGACACTGTTTAAATAAATGGTAACTTACCAACAAGAAAGGCCCCTTTACATCCAACTTATTAAAGATCTAAACAGAACCAGCTTACATTTTAACAAAGGCTTACATTCTTTTCCTATTGCAAAACATCTTAGTAACATATGGAGCATCGCCTTGTCAAAAGTAAAACGAAACCAGAAACCACATATTCCATTAATGCAGAGATCAACAAAACAAGTAGCGAAAAAGAACACAAATTCACTATGCGGTAACATCTAACATGGCCCCTAAAAGATCATAGAATAACAACCAAAGTGCCAAACATTAATTCAACGCAAATACTATATAGCATTCTCATTATAAACAAAGTTTCAAAAAAAGACCATGCCAGTAAAAGTATATTGGTGCAAATTCAGAGAACTAGGGGCATAAATTTGCAGTCAAAATTTTTGAAAGTGAATTAAAAAACAATTAGGAACCTAAAAGAATGGTAAGCAGCAATATCAATTGCTTGTGTATTAATCACTAGATGCTCATACAGTCTACGCAGGGTAGGATTAGAACTGAAGTTGTATGTTCAACCAAAAAGTATGAAGAAGGGCCATATTACGTTGGTTTATTGAAATTCAAAAAGCAGATAAGAATTCATAGGCAAACAAACAGACATTACCTTTACTTCTTCATTATAATCTGTGGGAAGTTTCCTATGCAAGAGAGTTTGACTCTCCAAGGATGTCACACTGTCCCTGAGAGAAATGACAGCTGGAACATATGCTGCCAACTGAGCTTTAAGTCCTCCATTCTCACCTTCCAAGATTATAACACTTTTTTCCAGCTCTTCTACCTCCATAGCTTTGGAATTACTTCTACTTTCAAGGACTTCACATTCCTTACTGAGTTCATGAGCCTTCTCTTCAAGCAATGCTTCACGGACAGCAGAGATCTGTAGCTCTCCAAACAATGCAGCAGCCTGATTTTCCCAAAGTTCAACCTCCTGTCTCCCTTTTTGTAGTTCAAGATTCAAACTGTCCTCCCTATGTTTCCTTTCTTCAAGTTCCTCATGCAACTTCGACAACTCAGCCTCCAATTTCTGATTAGCCTGCCAAATGCTTTCACTCTCCTTACTTTTATGATCATAGTCTCCAGCTAGTTTCAGAATTTGCTTCTCTCGATCTTCTCCTATCAGCTTGACCTCCTCATATTTACTCTTCAGGTCCTCCACTACTTTATTCAGTTGCGCTCTCTCTTCTTGAATTGCACTGAGCATCTGTGCTGCTTCCAAAAGCCCATTCTCCTTTTGGCATAACAGATCTTTTCCCCTCGCAACTTCGTCATTTAACCGATCACCAACAGATCTGACTGAAACCAGTTCATTCTCCAATTTTTGCATTGAATCCTTGAGATGTGAGTTTTCCATTTGCATATCTTCAAACCTTCTCTCCATAACCCTCACTTCTCCCTCAAGATCATTATTGACACATTTCAGTTTATCCAGATTGTCACTGAGATGCTTAATATCCTCAAAATTTTCAGCGATAATATCCTTGAAAATAAGAGAAATGTTACTTTGAGATATTGCTTCAGCAAAGACAACATAGTTTTCCTCTTCTAGCTTATGTTTCTCCTTGCCCAAGTCTAAAACTTCCTTCATCAAAGCCCTTTTCTCATCAAGCACCTTGCAGTTCTCTTCCAATGAACTCTGGTAAGCCCTTTGCAAATCTAACAGTTGCCCACGAACACTCCCAATTTCAGTCTGGAAAATTTCTTCTCTTTGGCCTCCCTCCATCACTTTTGATCTCAGTTCTTCATTCATATCCACAAGTTTTTCAGCTCTGCTCTGCAGTTCAGAAAACTGCTCAGATTGAACTTTCAACTCCTGATGCAGTGCATTCTTCTCTGCAGCAAGATTTTCTGCCTCTAGTTTCAGTTGCCCAAGCAGTGCAATAAGAACTGAGTTCTCAATTATGCATTGCTGATTTTCTTCCAGAGACTTTAGAAGACAATTTTGCATCTCTTGAAGCCCGCCAAATATAAGGTCAAGAACTGGTTGGTCTTGTTTGGTCTTATCATCATAACCAAGGATAGCATCAACCTCAAGACTCCTCAACATCTGATAAAGCCCCATCCTCAGTATGGTAATTTGATCAAATAAGGATTTTATCTCCATCTGTTTTTTGGAATTTCCAAGGTCCAATTCAGAGATAAGTTTTTCTGATAATTTGGAGGCTTCCAAGAGTTTCCTACACTCAAGCAATAGATATAAATTCTTCTCTTCCAGATCTTGTGCACATTTCTGCAAGATGAAAATTTCTACCTGAGCATTCATGGCCTTGTCCAGTTCCTCTTCATACTCCTCCTTCCTGCACAGACTTTCCCCTTGTAGAAAACTGATCTGAGATTCCATAGCAGCCACTCGGGTTCCATTCAACTGCAAAAAACTAGCATGTTCTTGCTTTTCAGCCTCTAGTGACTCTTGTAGCTCTTGTACTTCACGAAGTGTTGATTCCCTCTCTTTCTCCAAACCCACATATTTTTCTTCTAATCCCTGATATCTTTTCTCTAAATCTTCGTACTCCTTCTTCCTGCACAGACTTTCCTCTTCTAGAAAACTGATCTGAGATTCCATAGCAGTCACTCGGTTTCCATTCAACTGCACAAAACTAGAATGTTCTTGCTTTTCAGCCTCTAGTGACTCTTGTAGCTCTTGTACTTCACAAAGAGTTGATTCCCTTTCTTTCTCCAGACCCACATATTTTTCTTCTAATCCCTGATATCTTTTCTCTAAATCTTCGAGCCTTTTCTGACTGACATCCAATTGAGAAACCAAGCCTTCTCTCTCTGTTATCAGGCCAGACTTCTCATCACCGAGCAACTGGCATGAATTTTCTAAGCTCTTTAATTTTACCCTCAATCCTTCAAGTTCAGCATTGGCATCAAAAAGGGAATTCTCCAGAACATTATTCTTCTCCGAAAGCTTCTCCAGATTCTCAGTTGCAATCTGTAACTGAGAAATGAGTGTGACCTTCTCTGCAACAAGGGTAGATTTCTCTCTCAAAAGAGATTGGCAGGATTCTTCCAATGTCTTTACCCTCCCACGAACACCTTCTAGCTCAACATTCAAATCTGAGAGTGAATTCTCTAAAAGGGCATTTTTCTCAATGAGTTTCTCCATGATTTTCAACTTCTCTAGGAAGGCTAGCTTTTCATCTCTGTCTCTTTGGCAGACCTCTTTTAGCATTGTGTTCTCATCCTGAAATTCCTTCACAGATGATGCAAAGTTTTCTGGATTTAAGCCAACTGACTCCAGTTGTCCTGTCATATCCTGATGTCTCCCGTTAAGGTCATTGAGTTCCTCTTTCAAACAGTAAATTTCTTGCTGAAGAGCATTTCTTTGGTCCACTCTAAGTTCAACTTCTGCTTCAAGTTTTGCCATGGTCTCCCTTAAGCTTAAGATCTCATCTTGTAAATTCTTGATGGACACTGCTGAACTTATATTGAGTTCGTTCAGTCCCCTGTTCTCCTCCTTAACCCTCTGAACTTCATCCTCTAAACCCTGATTACGAGTTTCAATATCCTGAAACATTTGAGCCCTATTCTGAAGCTCCGTGGCCAGAGATCTGAGTTCTTCCTGAGATTGAGAGTGCAAATGCTGCAGCGTTTGAAATGCTGTTTCAGCGTCCATAAATCTCAAGCGCTCTTCTTGTATGGAAGTCCAAAGTCTCCCCAACTCCTTCTGCTTCTCTGTTAGTTCTTGACTTTGATCCCCCATCTTCTGCACCAAAGACTCCAATTCAGTATGCAGACTCTGATTGGTTCTCTCCAACAGACTACACCTTTCTTCAGCATCTTTTAACTTTGCAGCTCCATCATCCATCTCGCTGTTGAGCCTTTGAGCCTCCTCCTGGGAAAAAGCAAGTTTGTTTTCTAGGATAGAAATTGTCTCTAAGCACTGCTGGTACTGAATAGCAGCTGCTTCCTTATCTTTGGTCAGCTCAACAACTACTTGCTTTAAAATTTCAAGTTCACTTTCAGCTTTCTCTGCTCGTTCAGTCATCCTTTTGGCATTTACTTCAGCATTCAATAAGTTTTCTTCCAGATTCCTTATTATCTCTAAACACTGAGTGTATTGAGCAAGCGCATCCTCTTTTTCAGCTTCTACCCTGACAAGGTCCTGCTTTACAGCTTGCACTCCCATCTCAGCTTTGCTTGCTCGCTCATTCAGTTCTCCAGCATCCTTTTGTGCATAAGAAATACAATTCTCAAGATTATTTATTTTCTCCAAGCATTGCTGGTATCGAACAAGATTAGCTTCCCTTTCAGCCTCTAATTTGGTGAGGGAATCCTTCAAAGTCTGAACTTCAGCTTCAGCTTTTCCAGCTCGTTCATTAAGCCCTTGGGAATCTTCTTGTGCACGAGAGACTTCTCTCTCTAGAGTAGACAATCTCTCCAAACTCTGCTGGTACTGAAGTAGGCCAGCTTCTTTTTCAGCTTCTAATCTAGCAAGAGAATTCTTCAATGTTAAAATTTCCATCTCAGCTTTACTCACTCGTTCAGACTCAGATGGAACTAGAACCTTGAGATCAGGGCCCCCATTGTTTAGCGGACTTTGTTCTTTCTCCTCTACATCGTGAAAGTTGAGGCCTTTTCTTGCCCTTCCTTCTGCAAACTTTACATGGTTTGTAGCTTCTTCAGAACCAAACAAATCGTTGAACTGTTTTAGACCCTTTCTGATCATTACAGACTCAGATTCTTCAGTGAATGCTCCATTCCTCTTCATAGCATGTGAAGAGAGTCCCACAGCATCCTTCTGCAGCTCGTCAGGCTCAAATAATGCACGTACTGGCGGTGGCATCTCAGGCGTACGGGGATCAACCTCGGTAGCAGAAGCTCCTGGTAAGTCATCTCCAAATACCATAGGAACTTGGTTTGGAAATGCTTCTGCCATGGTCCGATGAGCCTGACGAAGCACCCCAGTTGCATGATCATATCTTTCAGCCAATGCACGATATGCTCGGTAAAACTCTTCTACTAATTTCATTAACTCTGGGCGTTTCTTGTAATACATCTCTGCTCGCCTAGCAAAGGAATCAGCATCTTCTTCAATGAGCTTGATCATTTGCTTGACTTTAGTATCCATATCTGTTCCAGCAGAAGAAAATTTGATGGTCAAAATACAGGTATACAGAGAAAGATTGAAAATTTCAATGCTGCAATCACACAAAATCATGACACCAAAGTAAAGCACAATCTCATTACCGCCAAGGAAAATCTCATTGGCTTTCATTAATCAATTTAGCACTTTCAAACTTAGTTTGATTAATGAAAGCCACCAAGCAGAGAAGATTATACATTTTACCTTTTGGCTCAATGCAGGATCAAACAACTTATCAAGCTTCTAAACCTTGGTTCCATGCTCATTTTAACTAATGTTAACTGTTAACACTCAACTATTTACAGCTTATCATGTCACTGCTTCCTGTAACAATTGCATAGTTGCAAGAATGGCAATAACACAGATGCATTTTACACTTTGTAGCAATGATCAGGTACCTGTGAGATTCTCCTGAAGCCATTTCGAATTTTTGGGGCTTATGTGGCTGTTCCACCACCACGAGTACATGCCTTTAGAATCTGCATGCTTCACAGTCGCCATGACTTTATTACTCAACACAATCACTTCCTGAATCTGACCGCAGACTACAGTTCTTAATTATGAAAACCAGGTGATGGATAAGCCCAGAACCAGTTTTTCAGGACCTCAAAATTAGCCAATTTTAATGTTGAGAATCGATATGGAGCCTTGAAATCTCTCAGTCCTTTTGCTTAATTCCTGACATCAACAAGCAAAACCAAATAATTCAGTTTTGACATGAAGGATAAAACAACTTGATCACATGATCAGGAACATAAAAAGATCAAGCAGAAACGGCATAAAATAACCTGATCAAGATAACCCAACGGTCCAAATATGTATGTTAAAAAGCAACTAGTAACCGGTAACTGTTGTCTTCAAAACTTCCACAAGTTACCTGATCAAAAAAAAAAAAAAAGAACAAATAATTAAAACAGGCGGTTGAAAAAGTAAGGTAGAATCTGATAAATCAAAACAAATGCTTTAAGAGAAACAGTAGATTCGCAGTCAACAACATAGCATAGAAATCATCAAAAACCATCTGATCAGCATAAGTTTAGTCAAGTTTCAAGAAGGTAAGCATAATTAAGTACTAATTAAATTACCTGAAAAGGCTTACAAAACCAAAAGCAAAAAAAGGCTACAAAAATCAAGAACCAAAAGAATTGATTTGCAGAGACGTTAAATTCAGCAAACAGGAAATGTAGACTAGAATTAAAAAGCTTACCATAAAAATTTTTTAAAAAAAAAATTGGTTTCTGGGTTTTGATTATCAGCGAATCCTATTGAACAAAAAAAAAAAGATAGCTGCTTGGCCATTGTTTTTCCTATCTCACCCCATTTCTAATTGATCTCTCTCTGGTGCAACTCTCTTTTACTCTCTTTCTCAGCTGTTTTGGGTTGCTTTTTTGTGCTGGGTTTTGGTGCTATTTGAGAAGGCTGTCAAAGAGGAAAAGAAAACAAAAAAGGTGGGGCAAAGGACAAGAACCATTAAAAACAGTAACCTCCAAACCCAAAAAGAAATATAGAGAAAAAAGAAGTCTAAAATCTTTAATAGGTATTTACTCCTATTGATATTCGCTTTTAGTGCAGTCTTTCGGAGAAGAGAAAAAACTTAACAAGAACAAAACAGCTGTTTGGTGGAAGTGAAATGACGAGGTTGTCCCTTTGGTTTAAGGTTACAAAAATGTTGTTCCTCGTGTTTCTCTACGCTTCGCTTCGATGATTCGCGTTTTGCATGAATTTGAGTAAACAAAGGAAAAAAACAGAAGATTTTGTTACCATAACAGTCAAAACCACCCTTCCTTCTTTCATTTTTGATTTGATCTCGCTTCAAATCTGTGGACTAATAACACTCTATATATGCAATTTGGAGAAATTTCAGCCCATAAATTTCTTTACTGGCCTTTGGTTAGTACGTTTCTTACATAATGAAAAATACTAAATGCTATTTAAAAAGGTTGATAATGGCCCAAAGGCCATTCAAATTTTGAAAAATATTTGTTTCTCTCCTAATTAAACTCAATTCTCAACCCTGGAAAAAAAAACGAAAGAAGAAACAAAAATCAAATAAGAAGAATGCCTTGTTAGCATTCAAAAGAAGGAGAGTGGTGGTTTTGGTCAATGCGGGAGAGTGTGACAGTCTTCTAAGCATGGCAGCTATGACACGGTGTCGCTCCTTTGAAAAGAAAAGTGGGCTCACTCATTCTTTGGGCGGTGGCCGAGGACGGTCGTCTTTCGTCACATGATTAAGAGATTCCTTTGGACCGTTGTGACCACGTGTATTGTACACTATACTTATCATGAAAATTAGTTTAAGCCTACTTCTTTCTTCTTCTTTGTTTTTTCTTTTTCGGCAGAAAAATAAAATAAAGGGGACAGTATTTTCCTGTGCTGGATTGTAAGCGGAAATAAAATAAATGACTTTTTACATTTTTTAATCCCAGCGTTCCATGGCCTGCCATTTTTGACACAAGTCCAGAGGCAAAATACTGTGTCATTCATTTATTTTTGTTATAATATAATTGTGACTTTGTTACTACCACTAGTACAATAATAGATTCAAATACAATCATATCCCTAAATTTATGAGGACGATCGCCATATATATATACATATATATATATATAGAGAGAGAGAGAGAGAGAGAGATGGAGACATATTGGTGGTGAACTTTGATGGTGAATTTAGAGTTAAAACAAAAAGGCACACAGATAGAGTTAGCTACAAACACACTCCAATAATTCATTGAATCATTTCCTCTACCTACTTCCTCATGAATGACTATCCGTCATTGATTTTAACTGTTGCTATTAATGAATTAATCAATGGAGAGTGTGGATTTTGTTGGGCTTTAACTAGACTTGTATATGTTTATGCATTTGTTTATCTGATTAATAAGATCAAAATATCTTAATTTAACAAAATAAAAATTTCTGTATGGACCAAAATGCATCAATATTAATCTATATATATAATACTAACCCCAGAGTTCACACAATCAATGTAGTAGTTGGATTGGTGATATAAGGCTTAAATTGATTATTCAAAGTCCATCCTTTTGTTTATCAGAATTATATGCAATGTGATTTCTGTGCGGATCATTTCATGAAAAAAGTATTTTTTAAAAATTTTTATAATTATGTATCAGCATTAAAACAAAAAAAAATATAAAGCAAACTGATCAATATGTGTATGTTATTATTCTTGAAATTATATAATTCAATCTTAAAAGTGATATATTCTTTATATCAAAGTGTGGATTCCAGAAGTGTTGAAAGTTACTAATTTAGATGTCTCTCATTAAATTATATCATTTACAACTTATCATTAGTACAAATCAAATGTAAGTGCAAACGTTGTGAAGATGCTACCGAATATTAATTCTAGAAGGGAATCCATAAGGGCAAGTCCTGCAAAGATTAAAGGAAATATGTTCCCTGATTATGATCAAGCTGCTGCAATATGGGTTGAGGGAAACAACTCCAACATATACCATTTGGAAGAGATCATATCAGAGTTCATGCTTATTTAGGAACAAGACGTAAGAGTTAAACACAGTGTTGGTCTTTCCAAATGGAGAAGTGTGTTGGGATTAAAATATCAACAAAATCATTTTGAATGATGGTAATCACAAGGAAGCAATAATTGAAAACATGCCATCTCTTTCTTTAATTGATGTCAACCTAACATATTTTCTTCATTGTTGTTTGTTTAGCTCTTCAAAATTCTGTTCTTATTTGGCATGTTTAAAATTAATTTGTTGGAAAAAAAATCTATTTTATTGGCTCCTCTAAATAAATTTTTAGTAATTTGGTTTTTAATCTCATTATTTGTTATCAATAAAGAATTAGTATGTATAGTAATCTTTGCTTTATATAACAAATTATAGTTCACACTTTATATAAAAAAAAATTAATACTTAATAACTTTTGTATGTTTCAGATTTTACTTATTAATAGTTAAAAAAAATCAAAAGAACATGTTAATATTATCCTTTTTTATCCTATTGATTGAGTTACTATAATTAATATTCAATTTGTATAGTTTATAATTTAAATAATAATAATAATATTCAGGTGCGATGCACGTGTAGAGAAAAAACTAATAGCGAGTAAAAATAATTAAGACGTTGGAGATCAAGCCCGATTCGGCATCCAGCGGGACAGCCGCTATAAGCGGTGACCTTGGTCCACATCTAGGGAAAAGGATTGTTGGACGGCGAGGATGGCTCAATTATAACAAGATGTTGGGCGTCTGAAAAAGGTGCGCTTACTAAATTATGTGCTATCATTGGTGCATATGTGCTAAATAATAATCAATTAGTTGCCCTGCCCTTAATTTATCACATCCATCCCACAGACAAATGGGAAATATATTTTGTTTATATTTCTAGGTAAATCAATCACTTTGCTAAATATTCCATTCCCATAAAAAAAAATAGTGGGGGGTTTGGTGCAGGAATTGATATAGAAATACAAATGTACACTCAGCCGTTTTTGATTTTTTGTGGAAGGGGAGATAAATTAGCATTTTGTTGCGATCTGTCTTGCTTTCAAGAGTATAATTATGGGGAGACTATTATTCTGTGGACTCTTCCTACTGAAAACAACACTTTGAACCTAAATTATTGATGGGTAGACAAAGATAAGAATCCTTGGAAATTTGGCTTGGGAGTTGGAACAGATACTCAAATACCAATGCTGTGTACATCAAATCAAATTACTTGTCAAATTATTTGGAATGGGCAGCCTCCAAATAAGGTTCGATGGTTAGGTGACAAAATTTATGAAAAAAGGGGTAGAAAAGATGAGAGGTGACTTCTAAGCTTTTAAAAGTTCATCTTTGGTAAGTGCTTCAGCCTTCAACTTTGCTTCTATCTCTTCCTTCCAAGTTAATTAAATGAAATTGAATAGGGTCATAGACGTCCCAGTCCATGAATAAAATTTTGGGCAAGGCTATATTACTAAATTGGTTTAGGATTCCATGCTTGTTTAAAGATCATACCGTTGAATCCATTTTCAGCAGCAAAAAATCTAAAAAAAAAATGGAAAAAGAAAAAGTAGAAAGATGTCATATCAAAAAGTTGAAATCTATTATAAGCATTACATATCTTCGTTTTCAAGTTATGTTGCCTCAACGTTTCATAGTCAACAAAAGCATCAACATGAGAATTTGATCGTTTGAATGTAAACAAAATTGTTTTTAAAGAATTGAACATCATTGTGTTGACAATGCAATCAAAGTTACAAAACTCAGGTCTGGGTTAAGAGTAAAGGTTTTTGAGGAGGGTTTTCTTATGTAAAGATGAAAAAGACGCATGTAGGGGTACGGCTGGAAGGAAGCTTCTTGCACATGACTGGAAGTCTGGAACACTCGGTTGGCTGACGTGGACACGCATTAGTCAGACAATATTTACCTTTCGACAGTGGGTGCAGGCCTAATAAGAAATTCAAGAAAGCAAAGCAAGCATCTCCTAAGGTTGTGGATGGCCAGGGTAATGGATTCCATCACCTTGTGGTGCTTTTGTGGTTGGTACCAATTCTTTTGACTCTTTTTTGCCGTTCCTTCATATGTTTGCCTCAGGATAACATCATGGCAAATGGGCAAATCTCACTTCAGTTTCCTGGCTTTCTTAATTTGTTTCCTCTAATTTTACAGAAAGTAATCATGATTTTGGACAAATCATCAAATTGAGTTCAGTGCATCGGGAAGCTTTACTCAACTAGAAGACTTTTATTAATTGAGTTAGGATGGGCAGGTTTGACAAACTCCCCCTTTCCACTATCCCCATCACTAAAAAGATGAACAGGACCCGAAGCCAAATTGATTTAATTGCTGGGTGAGGATATATTGATCTAATTAAAGTGTCACTGCAGCATTTATTCATGGCAAAATTTAATGGTCATTCATGGTTATGTACAACAACTTCTG